TCTTCGGTATAAGAAAAAGAAGAAGAAGGATATTTTAACTTTATTTATCTCAGAAGATTAATTATATCTAGTTCTTGATGCTATGAAACATTGAAACCCATAACACGAAAACCTTTGACATTGTTAGACTTATAATTAAAAAAAAATTATCATTCCAAGATCCATTTCTTTATAATTTTTATAAGAATCTTTGTAGGAGTAGTGAATTATTGAAAATTTGGCTGGTTATATGTGTACTGTTTCTGGTTGACAACAAAATATGTGAACTGTTTGTGATGTATATGTTAACTAGTATTAAGCCCGTACATTCGTACGGGCGAAATTTATTTGATGATAAATAACTGTAGTTTCCGTTTTCAAACGTAAGTGTGGGTTAGTCACATTAATACATATATGATCAAAATTTAACATTAAAGAGATTGAAGGAAATTATTCAACGTACAATTTCAATAACTAATAACTTCTCAACAATGATCAAGCTCAATCGTACTGAACGCTAATTAAAAAATTATGTGATACCAAACATTCAATGGTCCTATCACAAGAATCAACAATGGCCTATAAGTTTTAAATCACCACAATGCTTTTCAGAATGCCGTAGATATGTATCGACGTTAGCTTTTTGTTGTACGTGGTGAAACGCCACCCTTAGCGAGTTTCTAATTAGAGATGTGGTGGCGAAACAATTTGAGATCTTATGGTCAGTCGGGAGATTCAGTGGCTTGATACACATGTTTGAGAACCTTGTTTTCAACTATCACTTTCTCCGGGAGCTCTTATGTCTAACTTGTTGCTGCCCAAAAAAAACCGAAGTTCAGAAAACCAGAGAACCGATAGTGAGATATACAAATGAAAAGAGAGATATCCTTTTCCAACAGAGAACAGAGATATTTGGTCGAGTAATCTACAAAAGGGATGTATAAAACAAAGAGAAGTAAATCAGAAAAAATTGTGGTTCAGAGAATCTAACTACAGATCGAGTAATTATTGCTGCTTTTTACGTTCGTTATGAATAATGTTTTGAACATGGGGTCACTTATAACAAAAAAGCAGTAATCGACATATCTAGTAAAATCAAATTATTTATATATAAATAGATAAAAATCAAAACAGAGAGAAAAGCAATATGTTGATTACATGTTCGTCTAAAAAAAAATTCAGATTTTATGGTGATTTGGATTATTGGGATCACCTTATGAGAGGAGGAGGAAGACGACCAGAGGTGGAAAGTTGGAATGAATGAACTGTGAGGATGAAATAAGAATTTGGTGTTAAGGGATCATGTTCGGCTGTCGAGCAGGAAAGACAGTTCTATAATAGTAACAATAATTTTTTTATGGTGATTTGGATAAAGTGAAGGGAGAAACAATTGTGATAATCGATTGTGTCATTGTGTGATATATATACATGGCGATTTGATGAAACTGATGAGAGTAGGAAGTTAAATTTGGGGATCGTGGAATGCAAAGAGGAGATCGTGGGATTTTGTTTCCCAATTTAAAAGAAAGAAATTGGTCTCGACAAAGGTAAGAAAACAATAGTGAAACAAATAAAGAGTGGGATCATGCCTTTTTTATTGGCTTGAGGAAAACTGAAAAAAAGAAAAATATTAATTAATTAATTATTTTTCTGTAGAGTTTTGATCTTAAAAGTGAAAGAATTGGGATTTATGACAGATGTCAGATGGAGAGAGTTGCAGTTACTTATAAAATGACTTGTGAATGATTAGATAAGGATATAAGACAAAATGATGGTGTAGTTTAGCAAAATAAAGAAATTAATGGATCATTGGCTGGGATAATTTTGGAGAAATGAAATAAAGAGAGAAAGAGAGTGACGTCGTAAGAATGTGGGGGAGGTAAAGAGATTAGGGAAAAGATACCGAATCTTCTCTTGGTTTTGCGACTTGGCTGGTTCCAATTATTTTTCACACCCACTACAAATCGTAATATTTTAGGGAAATAATTTCAAGCTATATTGTACATTGCGATATTTATATGATTCAAATTTTGATTAAATTTTTTTAATGATTTTGAATATATATATATATATATATATTCTTATAACTCATGGTAAATTTCTACGCCTATGAAGAAGTCAGAACTAATTCTTGGGAAGAGGAAATTCTACCGGTAGAGTTTCTACAAATTTTCAAATGGACAGTAAATAATAGACCTATATCTATGTGGCCAAATAATAAAGCTGAGCAACTATGTGTATAGGAAAAATCGATTCCTGAACTAAACCAACATGACGACTTTTCTACCAGACTAGAACCACTAGTACACCACTTCTAGGTACACCTTGAAATTTATGCAAGAATTTTTGTATTGTCATCAAACGGTTGAATTTAAAGTGTTATATATATATATATATATATATATATATATATATATATATATATATATATATATATAACTTCACTTTTCTCGTGTTCAAGTACTAGGTCGCCGACCTTCTGCATGAATAACATGTCTCGTAAGTTTAGAGTGGTTACGTTACTCAAAACACGTTATCAAAAAAAAAAGCAAGTTTAGTAAGTTAAAATAATTCATTAATTGTATTGTCCGAAGAAACACGCGTGTTACAGTATTTCAGAATCGACCATGATCAGAAGTTTTCTAGATGATATCGACATGAAATGTCAGTCTATAGAAAATTTTGTGTGGATGTACATGAATCAATGATAACTAATAGAAAAAATGTTTACGAACAGTCGTACTCGTTCTATATAATGTTTTCCTATAGATAAATGATAAAATACTTATACCAAAACAAAATAAAAATTAATGATAAACTACAAAACATTAGCATGTAGGATTTTGTAAAGTTATGTTTTATGAATACTTTAGTTTTTTTAAAACAAAATCTGTGCTTTCACATTAAAAGGAAATCATTTAAACCGGTTAGATTAGATGTATAAAAAGAAACCGTTAGCAGTGATAACTGATGACTTATATATATACTTTGCTATTTTGACCGTTACTTGTCATTGTTTTACGTTTAATCTTATCACCAAACTGTTTTTAACCCCATTGTAAAAAAACAATTGACGACAACTAAACCAATAATAATATACGTGTTACAAACTTAAAAGAAGAAACAGCATCGTGGAAGATAGTTCATTTGCAGAGTGGCTATTTTGTAATTTATGAATTTTTCCATGTCCTCGATCAACTAGGCGACAAAAAGGACCGCCCGTACTACCTCGTGAGATCCAAACGCTTCTACTTTCACGCGCCTTTACTACTCACGCGCTCTTTGCACTAAAATATTTAATTTGTCACAATTGTACATTCGTGCGCCAGGATTCTACGCAGAGAAATGTCGTCAGGTCGTAGATTATTGAAGGTATTCATCAAGATCATGAAGAAGAAAGTGTAATATATCGTATATCTACTAAAGATCGACATAAATTATCAGTTGTAGAATCGTCTATGTAACAGTTCTCATAATTTACAATTAATAATAAATCTAGACGGAAAAAAAAATTAACTGTACATAACTACTTTAACCAAATCGGTCTGGTTTGATAGATCCAAATCATTTTATACAAATCGATCTTTTAGGCAAACCACAATGCAAATAGCTAAATGGAGAGTAGAGGACACGCGCTATAAAGAATGTGTGTGTGGGAGTGGGAATAGTTCGTATTAACACCACCACTAATTATAATGTTCGCTTCGTCATATCTGACTAATTACTGATTTAATTATATAAGGTTTTATTTTTTTATTTTTATTTTTTTCAGCAAGGTTTTATTATATTTAGTTTTAGTCAGTGTTCTAAAAAGCGGTCTAAGCGGTTGCCTAGGCCTCGACTAGGCGCTAGGCTCTCATGCGACGTCTAGATAACCGCCTTGACCGCCTAAAATTATATAGAACTTGTTTAATGTATTTTTTCAATTTCAATTAGAGTTTTATATATATAGTTATAAATATTTATATATTGTTTAATATAAATATAAATAAATGTCTTATTTAGTTTTTGTTTATAATTTCGTAATTTTTAGTTTTATATATATATTTTAAATAACTTTTATATATAATATCATATTTATAATGTTTTATATTATAAACGTCTAAACCGCCTTAAAAATCGCCTAGGCTCCGATTAGGCGTTCTAGGCGCTAGGCACTGGGTCACCGCCCGCTTAGTACCTAGCGCTTTCTTGAACACTGGTTTTAGTTAAATTAAAAAAAAAGTTTGTTGTCATACTATTACCACTAGATTCCTATTAAAACCTCTGACACAGAAAGAAGGGTTTCAATCTCATTAAAGAGAAAAGAAACGATTAGAGAAAGAGAAGAGCTACACTTCTTTTTCTTTTATTTTTGTGGATACTTCTTCTTCTTCTGTGTCTCTCTGGTCTGTCTCTGTGTAATCTCTGTTTCTTTTTGTTTGAAGATGTAAAGATTATTAATTGTTTTCTCTTTCCATATTTATCGATCTCTTTGTTTTCTCCATAAATTCGTCTCTCCTCTTCTCTCTTGCTGACTCCACAAAATTTGAGCTTTTTTTTTGAAGTTCTTGAGGTAACTTTTCTCAGTCTCTTATAGTTTTATTTTGTTTGATTTTGTCAATTTCGAAACTTTGAATTCTGGTTTTTATTGTTTTCATAATTTTTCTGGAGAAAACCCAGAAAGTTGTAAAGATTTTGCTGAATTGAGTATGTTCTATTGAAATTGATTCGACAGATTTTTGAGAACGATGTATGTTTTAAATTCGATTTCGACGCACCATAAATTTTATATATGAAATTGAGATTTTGAAAACAACAGATTTGGTCTCATCTTCTTCAAGTTGTTGTTGATGTGTCTGCTGCCTGCTGCTTAGAGTAGTGTTTGTTGCAAGTTGGCTTATTATTGTCTAATCAGTTATATTATTATTTTATTTTTTAGTGTTTCGATTTGTAACATTTTAGATTCCGTCTTTGACCAATTAAAATCTTTCCTCCATAACGTTTTATTTTATAACGTTTTTTTTCTTTCTTTCATGTTTTTAACTTTGACAGCTACTTCTAAGTTCGTTTTAAGCATCAATTCGTTTATGCAAATAGAGAGAATCTCATGTCATGTCTTAGAAAACAAAATTGCTCAGAAACTATCTTTTTGGTTTTGATTTTAATATTAGTAGGAAGAGATCTTTTAGGAATCTATTCCTCTGTTTTTTTCTTTGGTTGAGAAGGACCAGAGAAACTCTCTTGTTTTGTTTCAGAGAATCTCTGTTTGTGGTCTCTCTTTATGAAATCTTTATCTCTATCTTCTTTCAGATTCTGCTTCTTCTGTCTAGTTACTTAGTGGCCAAGATTCACTTATTTGACTCGGCTGGCAAAATCTATCGAATATCTTATCTTCTTGCAACTTGTTGAGAGACTTAAAGCTCTACTTACTTTGTTTGTTGCTTCTTCTTATCCTTTGTCTTGTTCTTCTGTGTCTTGGTAATGGTATAAATTACTTCTTTTTGGTGAAATTGCAGAACAAGTGAAGAGCTTAATATCCACAAGACTCTCTTGTTTCTTTCTTAAATGGCTAAAGTTTATTGGCCGTATTTCGATCCTGAATATGAGAACTTGAGCACCAGAATCAATCCTCCAAGGTAAAAATCATTATTACATTTCACACCATTGATGCTGTTTCCAAGTAGCTCATACTTTTCTATGTTGTTGCAGTGTCTCTATAGATAACACTAGCTGCAAAGAATGCACTCTTGTCAAGGTAAGCTATCTTCTTTCTCGGATTTCAATCGATTTGATGATTTAACTGAAAATTTGAGGCTTGTGAATAGGTGGACAGTATGAACAAACCTGGAATACTACTGGAAGTTGTGCAAGTCCTGACCGATCTCGATCTCACAATCACCAAAGCATATATCTCTTCTGATGGTGGATGGTTCATGGACGGTAATAATATTGCATATATGTATACATTCATAACAAATTCTTTCATTCCAATGAAGCATCTCACTGATTCTCTTTTCACATCTTTTTAGTATTCCATGTCACTGATCAACAAGGAAACAAGGTTACTGATAGCAAAACCATTGATTACATCGAGAAGGTATATACATAAAAGCAGTTAATATATGTTTAGTTTGTTTAATGTATGCACTTGGTTTGTTATTACATTATATCTGATTCTTGTTTTTTTTCTTTTAAAAGGTTTTAGGACCAAAGGGTCATGCTTCGGCTTCACAAAACACTTGGCCAGGTAAAAGAGTCGGTGTCCATTCATTAGGCGACCACACATCGATTGAGATTATTGCTCGTGATCGTCCTGGTCTATTGTCTGAGGTCTCAGCCATACTAGCAGACCTCAACATCAATGTGGTGGCGGCTGAAGCATGGACTCACAACCGTAGGATCGCGTGTGTCCTCTATGTGAATGATAATGCAACTTCTAGAGCCGTTGATGACCCAGAAAGATTGTCTGCCATGGAAGAACAGCTCAACAATGTGCTGCGTGGGTGTGAACAAGAAGATGAGAAATTTGCTCGGACGAGTCTCTCCATTGGATCAACTCATGTTGATCGAAGGCTTCATCAGATGTTTTTCGCTGATAAAGACTATGAAGCAGTGACCAAGCTTGATGACTTTGCTTCTCGTGGACTCGAGCCCAAAATCACGGTTGAGCATTGCGAAGAGAAAGGTTACTCTGTGATAAACGTGAGCTGCGAGGATCGACCAAAGCTCATGTTTGACATTGTATGCACGCTTACGGATATGCAATACATTGTGTTTCACGCCACGATTTCATCAAGCGGCTCTCATGCTTCTCAGGAATATTTCATTAGACACAAAGACGGTTGCACTCTTGACACAGGAGAGAAAGAGAGAGTTGTCAAATGTCTAGAAGCCGCAATCCATAGACGAGTCAGCGAGGTAAGTAAACATTTTTTATTGGTGCATGTTACTTGCATTAGAAGCAACAATTTCTTAAGTTATTTGTCTGAAAATACTATTATAGGGTTGGAGTTTGGAGCTCTGCGCAAAGGACAGAGTTGGATTACTGTCGGAAGTGACAAGGATTCTGAGAGAGCACGGGCTATCAGTGTCGAGAGCTGGTGTGACAACAGTAGGAGAACAAGCCGTCAATGTTTTCTATGTGAAAGATGCTTCAGGGAATCCAGTGGACGTGAAGACGATTGAGGCTTTACGTGGAGAGATCGGACACAGTATGATGATTGACTTCAAGAATAAAGTTCCGAGCAGAAAAGGGAAAGAAGAAGGTCAAGCCGGAACAGGAGGAGGATGGGCCAAAACCACTTTCTTCTTTGGGAATTTGCTGGAGAAGTTGCTGCCTTGAGAGAAAAGGTAACTATAAATGTGTGGATAAAATGTACCGTAAAATGTGTATTATGTATGATCTAGAGGGCCCTAGTGTGGTGTATGAGTGTATGACTTGGTCAGGGATTTTGGTGGTTTGCCCGAAACTAAACCGAACCAAAACTGGTTTTCGGTTACTTAGTCATAGTAAAATGAACATGTCTATAAAAGAATAATATGCAACTCTTCCTATTGGAAGGCTTGCTTTTGTCTATGTAATATCAATCCTTGTTATGTATTATCTTTGGCCAAATGTGATATTTTCTGTAGTTTAATCTCTTCTTTCCCTTCTATTTTGTAACTTCTTCGAATCTTGAATATCAATATCATTGCAATGAGAAAAATGGAGTATAATCCAATGAATATACAGTATACTTACAAATAGTACACAAGCCTAAAAAAGTGATAAATGGGTGCATCTGCGAATACTTTTGTTATAGTCGAATATGAAAGTAAAATTAAGTAAACGGCTTGATGTTTCCATGTCCTATCGAATAATATTCTTTCTTCAATAACTTTCATGTATTTAAGCAAAATACTTAAAAGTATAAATTAACACTTAAGTTTGAAAACATTTTGTTAAAAAAAACCTTTTGAATGATAAAAAAAAAAAGCTTTTTAGTTAAAGAATAATTTTTTTTTTTAATAAAAGGTTATTTGTAAAAAAATTTTAAGCGTTAAATTTATAATATGTGAAAACATGTTGAACTTAGGACACCACAAAACTTACGGACCAAAAGACGGAATGCTAAGTCCGGTTTGTTTTCAACATATATTAAATTTAACACTTAAGTTTGAAAACATTTTGTTAATAAAAAAATCCTTCGAATGATAAAAAAAAAACTTTTAGTTAAAAATCAATTTTTTTTTATTAAAACCTTATTTGTAAAAAAACCTTAAGCGTTAAATTTACAATACGTGAAAACATGTTGAACTTATGACACCACAAGACTTACGGACCAAAGGACGGGATGCTAAGTCCGGTTTGTTTTCAAAGTATTTTAAATTTAACAATTAAGTTTGAAAACATTTTATTAAATAAAAACCTTTTGAATGATAAAACACCTTATAGTTAAAATCAAAATTTTTTTATTAAAACTTTATTTGTAAAAAAAACTTAAGCGTTAAGTTTACAATACATGAAAACATGTTGAACTTATGACACCGCAAGACTTACGGACCAAAAGACGGGATGCTAAGTCCGGTTTGTTTTCAAAGTATTGTAAATTTAACACTTAAGTTTGAAAACATTTTGGTAATAAAAACCTTTTGAATGATAAAAAAAAATATTTTAGTTAAAATCATTTTTTTTTTACTAAAACCTTATTTGTAAAAAAACCTTAAGCGTTAAATTTAAAATACGTGAAAACATGTTAAACTTATGACACCACAAAACTTATGGACCAAAGGACGGGATGCTAAGTCTGATTGTTTTCAACGTATTTTAAATTTAACAATTAAATTTGAAAACATTTTTGTTAAATAAAAACCTTTTGAATGATTAAAAAAAATGTTTTGTAAAGAAATTAAAATTTTTATTAAAAAAAAGAAATTAGGAAGATGATACCTGGTTGGAATTGGATAGCAAGGAGGGCCCTCACAACAAAGCCCATTGACGCGAGCCTTGAGCCGTTTGTGGACGAAGAAACTCGATGAGTTTTGTATTTTCTTCATCCTCAAAGTAACTCTAAAAACCCATCGAAACCTTCATCGTCAAAGACTGCTCTCTTTCACTGTCTCTCTCCGTCCCTAAACCCATCGAAACTGCTGCTCGTCCTTCGCTTTCACTGTCCCTCTCTCCATGGTAACGAATTACCAATAACACGGGAAATTAGTTAAAAGATCCGACCTGACATCGTTCTCGATTAATTGGAGACAGAAGATGGAGATCAAATCACGAAACCAGATGCTTTTTGAAGAGATCATTGACTTACTTCAATATCGGAATGGAACATCGGCGATCATCGGTTTTTGTTTTCTGTTTGGAAGAAGAAGAGAGATTAGTGAGCGAGTATTTATAAGCAAAAGGTTGACACAAAAACAAAAAGGAAACTTTGACTGATTTCCTTTTTTTTTTTTTTTTTTTTTTTTATTCTGACTAGGTTTACGTTGTTTTCTTTTATGCAATTATGCTTTAAAATTTTTATAACGGTAAAGAAAAGTTTTAAACAACAGTCATATTTCTCCTACTGCGTAATAGTTTATCTAAGGTAAATTATTTATTTGAGTGACTAAACCATTTTATGATACAAATCTTTTGAAACAGAGGATACCCTCCACTGGAGAGGACAGAGCTCAAGCCATGACCTTGGGTGGCTTTCTAATAAGAGTTGCTTGTTCCACGGCATAAGCAATCTCAGTGAGCTCTGATGTGATGATCAAGATGAGAAGAATGCTTCATTACAGTCCCTAATCTCTTACCTTCTTTGAGGCCACTAGTTGTCAAAAACCGCCTTCGGGTATGAACTCCGACGCATTTTTCGTGGCCTAGTCCAGTAGATCATAACCCAAAATAACATCAAGGAGATAAACAGAATCTGAAACTGTCCTATAAATCGCCTAACATAGAGAGACACTAGGCAAAATGGTACACAAATCAAACAACAGTCATATTTTTCTTTATGCATGCGTAAGAATCTATCAAGGTAAAGTATTTGATGTTTCGTTGAGTGACTGTTGATACAGAGCATTCTTGAAACAGAGAATAGACCATTGATTGAAGATTAGGCTAGAAAAATAAACTCTACCATAAGACTGTGTCAGTTAATTTGAACGCATTGCACAAACAGATAGGAAAGCTCGGTTCTAGAAAACTGTGGCACGGATTACAACGCAAAAAGAAATCACGCTTGATCGTGCCAAGTCACGCTTAGATGAAGCTATAAGCTGAAAAATGTTGCACATGTATCATCAAGCCTTTTGATGCCATAGACTCAGTCAATAACTTTTTTCTCAGTTTTTTATACTCGTAGACATAGTGTAAAGCTTTTATGGGTTGATACTACACTAGAGTTTGCAAGCTGATATAACTCATTGTACTCTTTGCATTCGATTAATATACAGCAGAAAACTTCATTGACTTATACGATCCATGGTCTAAAATTTCACCACTCAAGAGTTTTGGGCCTTTATAATCAAATTGGTGCATTGACTTGGGCATGAGAATGGGTCGATTGATTTAGCACAAGCAGTATATAATAAAATGCAACATATATGATCCAATGAATATGTTATGGGAGATCATTGTGTTTCTCTGTAGTTTAATTATGTATTAAACGTAATTATTTTTATTTATGATATACTAATTAAGTCTCTCCTAGTAAAATAAGGTTGAATATAGGCCCTTGAATTTGGGGAGGGCTAATGTAAAGTAGATATGTGACAAAGTGGAAAAGCAATTAAAAGAAAACGGCATGGAGTGCGGCCACGGGTAAGGCTAACAGCTAGCTTTCTCTACATATGCACGACACTAAGAAAAAGTCTAAACGGCTTTGATGTTTCCATGTCCTATCGGCTATCGAATAATATTGTTTCTTCCATAAATTTCATGTATTCAAGCAAAATACTTAAAAGTATAAACTAACTCCTTGCGTGATCTTACAAAAAGAAGAAGAAGTATAAACTCGTTCTAGCACAACAGAACAATCAATCAATACAGTTTATGTTTGAAGAATACAGTTTGTGTATTGTTTGTTTAAAATCAAACTAATATATATCTTCGTTGCCTTTCAAATCTTCTATGAAATTTTTATATATTCCGTGAGGATGCAAACGACACAAGCCGTCGAATTGTTGTTATCTTTTTCTTTTCTTCAAGATATGACAGATTTAGATTGAATTATTTTCTGTTGACATGTCGAAAGAATCAAAACTATGATTGATTCATTAAAACATCCTTTATAAAATTAGTTACCATATGTTCTTTTTGTTTACTGTTTACCATATGTTTATCTTTACAAATTACAAATGGATGATGCTAAACTTATGGTTAAACATATATAGAGTAATCAAAACCGTAAGATAACTTAAATAACAGTAAAAGTGATACATTGAAAAATGATAACTACTTTATTATCATCAGGATTCGGTTAAAAACTTGTTTAATAACATCACTTCTACTAATTATAATAGAACTAATCAAATCTTGGGTTTTAGGAATTAGGATGATATAGGGAGGTGGAGGAATGAAGAAGATTTGGTGGGAAGTTGCCCCATTAGAGCAAAAAACGTGCCCACCAACTCAAAGGCCTCATTAGCATTTTTGTGCATTTTTACCGGTTGCGTTTTTTCTTCTGTTTTTTGATATAGATAATTCTCATAATTTGTTTTAATTCAAGGTGCATTTATTTCTTGGCTATTACATCTGCAATTCTTGTCTTCTTCATGAAATAGGTTTCTTTTATTTGACACAAGATAAAATATCTTCGAAACTAGTAAATAGTAGTAAAAGAAGAAGAAATTTATAGGTTTCAGTCTTTCAGAGAAAGTTCAGAAAGTACTCATAGAGAGCTATACTTTTTACAATGTAGATTCGTCTTTTGTCTAACGTTTTTATGTAAGATTTGAAACGTCATTTTATAAGTTCCTAATTCACTCTTTTTTTTTTTTTTGTCGTTTTTCTACTTGTTTAGAACGATAACATAATATTTGATTTGTTTTGCACTGTCTTCTAAGTTGTAAATTTGTAATTGATTTATGAACTGGGTTTATACAAACAAAGAACTAATTTTACACTCCGACAAAAATCCCTAAAGTCCTACAATTACATATCCATCACAACATCATTTAGAGTAACGAAAATTCAGATAATAATACAATATTTTAATTAATTAAACGAGCAACGTATGATATGAGAAAAGGTTATTTTCTAATTAAATTAAATAGTGATATATCTTTGGACGTTATCCCTTGACCTGTAAACGCTCCTGAGAAATGTGGAGTTTAATTACATTATGCGACTCAACAGCTTCGGATTTCCAATCACATATGTAAGTAAAGTTCTCGACCATTTTTTAATTCCGTTACGTACATTATTAGTTTAACCTATTCTAATAAAAAAAATTCGTGTGATTATGAAAATAAATAAATACAGAAGAGTCGAATTTGGAATTTAATTTGTAATTAGTACTGTTTTCTCCTGTCAATTTCAGACACGTGGCAGATCACGTGTCATATAGTCATTACCCGTACGTTTACTCTTTGCCTTTTATCTCCTTTATGATTTGTTTTCTATCTTACTCGTGAATCGTTAATTCGTTATCAACGAGCTTAAAAGCTTAAAGAAATTAACGGATTAGTAATAATAATTCGACCGAAGAGAAACCCAGAAAGAAAGAGGCACCGAAGAACACTAATTCTGAGGTATGATCCGAAAAAAAGTTCCAAAGTTTTTATCTTTTATTTTATCTTTTGTGAGCAAATAAATCTTCTGGTCCTACGCTAGTCAATGGACATTCTCCGTAATTTTCGTCTCTTTTTTTTTAGAGATTGTAATTACTACTATAAAGTAAATTTCTCCAACTTTCTGGAAAAATCCATCCAGCAAAAGAAAAGAATTATTGGTTTATTGATTAAAAATCTCCAGTTCAAAATTAAGCACTAATTATGGGTTTTTGTTTATTGATGTCCAAAAAAAGGTTACACATAGAGACATTAATGTTTGCTGCGTTTTAGTTTAGTTTAAGAGTTTAAGACCATATCTCAATCCTTATTTCCCTACATTTGTCGTCTTTTGATGTCCTAAACTCAGAGATATTTATCTATCCCCTCTCTCTCTCTCTCTCTCTCATTCTCTTATTTACTTTTGATCTTGTGGTGTTAGAATCAAAGAGACCGCTTAAAGATGGTGAGTGAAGGAGCAACAAGAAAGGAACTTAACCTATGCTTCGAGAAGATGAAGATGGAAGGAATCGTGATCTCTGAGTGGAAAGATATCCCTGTGGAGCTTCTTATGAGGATCCTAAACCTTGTTGATGATCGGACGGTGATCATTGCTTCTTGTATTTGTAGTGGTTGGAGAGATGCTATTTCCCTTGGCCTCACTCGTCTCTCCCTCTCTTGGTATGTCTCTATCTTCTTCTTCTTCTTCTTCTTCTTCTTCTTCTTCTTCTTCTTCTTCTTCTTATGTCTCTGTTTCATTCTTTATTTGATAGAGTTATGATGTTTGAATTAGAGAAGATACTTATATGTGAAAAAAGTGTTTCGGGGTTTGAATAAAGATTGAGCCTTTTTAGCTATCTTCATCAATTGATGGATGATAAATTGCTGAGATCATGCCTGGTGATTGAAAGAGTCAAAACTTTTTTTTTGATTTGATCAGATTTTGTTATGAGGACAGTTCCTTGGTGATGGTTGATGATGGATCACAATTTGTGTTTATATGTTCCCAAAAACTAGGAGGAGGATTTTGATTTTTTGTGTTTACTTGTTGTTTGTTCTTTAGGTGCAAGAAGAATATGAACAGTTTGGTTCTTTCTCTTGCTCCCAAATTCGTTAAGCTTCAGACTTTAGTACTGCGACAAGACAAACCGCAGCTTGAGGACAGCGCGGTGGAAGCCATAGCAAATCACTGTCATGAGCTACAAGATTTGGACTTAAGCAAAAGCTTGAAACTTACTGACCATTCCCTATATTCTCTGGCTCGTGGTTGTACTAACCTCACTAAACTCAACCTTAGTGCCTGCACTTCGTTCAGCGACACTGCTCTCGCGCATTTGACAAGATTTTGCAGGAAGCTCAAAATTCTGAATCTTTGTGGTTGTGTTGAAGCTGTATCTGACAATACATTGCAGGTGCCTTTTAAAGATTCAACTCTCCAATATCATTCGCCTTATATGTTCTTTGTATCGATAACCAATCAATTCTTCATCCGATTGTGCAGGCTATTGGAGAAAACTGCAATCAGTTGCAGTCACTAAACTTAGGATGGTGTGAGAATATAAGTGATGATGGAGTTATGAGTTTAGCTTATGGTTGTCCTGATTTAAGAACCCTTGATCTTTGTGGTTGTGTTCTAATTACAGGTAAACCTCGTAAAGTTTAAGGCTTTACGAAACCAAATCAGAGTTTTTTTTTCCTCTTTAAAACCATTTTTTGTTGTGGCAGATGAGAGTGTTGTGGCTTTGGCGAATCGGTGTATACACTTGAGGTCATTGGGATTATACTACTGCAGAAACATTACCGACAGAGCGATGTACTCTTTAGCTCAGAGCGGAGTAAAGAACAAACACGAGATGTGGCGAACGGTAAAGAAAGGCAAATTCGATGAAGAAGGACTAAGAAGCCTTAACATTAGCCAATGCACTTACCTAACACCTTCAGCGGTTCAAGCGGTCTGCGATACATTCCCTGCACTCCACACTTGCTCAGGCAGGCATTCTCTTGTCATGAGCGGTTGTCTTAATCTACAATCTGTTCATTGTGCTTGTATCCTTCAGGCTCACCGGGCTCACCGCACCCACACCGCTTTCCCTCACCCGGCTCATTGAACCGGTGTGTGTGAGCCAGAGTGTCTTCTCTTTGGTATGTGTGTACATACATATAAGCATATGGTCTAAATAAAGCTTCTTTAAGTTTCTTCTTTGTCTTTGATACAATCTCAAGATTTTTAACATTATCTATTATGGAAAATCTTGTAGATTTGCGAAATAATTATTTCTAGCAATTTGTTTTAAGTTTGATCCATCAAAAGAAGATGATGCACAACAATTACGTGCGGAACCGGAACCGGAAATGGTTAAAACCAAACCGGAAATTATTATTATTTAGTCGTAATAACTAATAAGTCTCTTCTATGTATTTTTTCTCCAAGCCATGGAAGTAGATTGTCGTCGTTATTACGTCCGTCTTCTTCAATCATGCAGCAACAGAAATCGCGAAACTTTATGGAGACAAACCAACGGATTGTTCTTGAAGAAGGGTTTTATTAGTTCAATTGTCATTGTTGCTAATCATCTCCTTCAGATATACTCGCGGTCTGGGAAAATGGGAATTGCGCGGAACTTGTTCGACGAAATGCCTGAGAGAAACTATTTCTCGTGGAACACTATGATTGAAGGGTACATGAATTCTGGGGACAAGGGCACGTCTTTGAGGTTTTTTGATATGATGCCAGAAAGAGATGGGTACTCTTGGAATGTGGTTATTTCCGGGTTTGCTAAAGCTGGTGAGCTAAGTGTTGCTAGGAGGTTATTCGATGCCATGCCGGAAAAAGATGTTGTGACGTTGAACTCTCTGCTTCATGGTTATATTCTAAACGGTTATTCTGAGGAAGCTCTGAGGTTGTTTAAAGAATTGAAATTTAGCGCTGATGCTATTACATTGACGACAGTTCTTAAGGCTTGTGCTGAGTTAGAAGCTTTGAAACGTGGGAAGCAGATACATGCTCAGATTCTGATCGGCGGTGTTGAGTGTGACTCGAAAATGAATAGTTCTTTAGTTAATGTGTATGCAAAGTGCGGTGATTTGAGAATGGCAAGCTATATGCTGGAGCAGATTGGGGAACCTGATGACCATTCTCTATCTACCTTAATTTCAGGTTATGCTAATTGTGGGAGAGTGAATGAGTCTAGAAGACTTTTCGATAGGAAAAGTAACAGATGCGTAATTCTATGGAACTCTATGATTTCGGGTTATATTGCCAACAATATGAAATTTGAGGCATTGGTTCTGTTCAATGAGATGAGGAATGAAACCTGGGAAGATTCTCGTACGCTGGCAGCTGTTATAAATGCTTGCATTGGTTTGGGCTTCCTAGAGACTGGTAAACAAATGCATTGTCATGCTTGTAAATTTGGGTTAGTTGACGACATTGTTGTAGCTAGCACTTTGCTTGATATGTACTCCAAGTGTGGAAGCCCAATGGAAGCTTGCAAACTTTTCAGTGAGGTCGAGTCCTATGACACAATCTTACTGAACAGTATGATTAAGGTATATTTCAGCTGCGGAAGAATCGATGATGCAAAACGGGTATTTGAGAGAATTGAAAATAAGAGCTTGATTTCTTGGAACTCAATGACTAACGGATTCAGTCAAAATGGTTGTCCAGTTGAAACTTTAGAGTATTTCAGTCAAATGCACAAGCTGGATTTGCCGACAGATGAGGTTAGCCTCTCTAGTGTCATTAGTGCGTGTGCAAGCATTTCTTCTCTTGGACTCGGTGAGCAGGTTTTTGCGAGGGCAACTATTGTTGGTCTTGACTCTGATCAAATAGTATCATCCTCTCTCATTGATCTATACTGCAAGTGTGGGTCCGTCGAGAATGGCAGGAGAGTATTTGACACAATGGTAAAATCAGATGAAGTACCATGGAACTCGATGATATCAGGTTATGCTACGAATGGTCATGGATTTGAAGCAATTGATTTGTTCAAGAAAATGAGTATTGCTGGTATAAGACCCACTCAGATCACCTTTATGGTTGTTCTAACAGCATGCAATTACTGTGGTTTAGTCGAAGAAGGAAGGTTATTGTTTGAGGCAATGAAGTTGGATCATGGTTTTGTTCCAGATAAAGAGCATTTTTCATGCATGGTTGACCTTTTGGCTCGTGCTGGTTATGTGGAAGAAGCTATAGATCTTGTAGAAGAGATGCCTTTCGATGCGGATGCTAGCATGTGGTCATCTGTTCTAAGAGGATGTGTAGCAAATGGATATAAAGCCATGGGAAAGAAAGTTGCTGAGAAGATTATAGAGCTTGAACCTGAGAACTCAGTTGCTTATGTGCAGTTGTCCGCCATATTCGCAACCTCTGGAGATTGGGAAAGCTCGGCGCTTGTAAGAAAACTGATGAGAGAAAACAATGTGTCAAAGAATCCAGGTTCTAGTTGGGCTGATTGTTGAATACTCTATTTGAGCTTATGATTTGTTAATAACTATAGTTGAGTGTATAGCATAACACCGATAGAAGGAAATTACAACAAAACAGCCTGTAAAATAGTGGAGTTTTTCTTCTTTTTGAAAAAGAAAAAAACTTATTTTAGCAACTTGTTAAGTTTGATCCATCAATTATCATCATTACAAATATTTATAAAGAATTAATAACTTAAGAAGCTGCATCACATTCACATGTGAGACCCATCAATTGCAATGTGAGTGTGGTATTGATCATTTGCCTTTGTATACAATTTCATCATCGTCTACATCAAATGCTGGATTGCAGAGACATCTGAAGAGTCTACCAATCCCCTGTAAAAATGTCAAATCAAGAATCTAAGTTTCTCTTTTTACATTATCACTCATAGAAATGACTTGAACAGTGAGAATTTTTATTTTACCTGAGTGAGCAGAGGAGTTCTGTATGAAAGTGGTTGTGAAGAATCGTCATCACTGCTACTGTCATCATCGTCGCTGTCTTCATCTTCTTTTCTTGATGTTGTACCGTTCCTCGATTGCTTTTCTTGCTGCACAAGCCAACAACAATCTTGAATCAGCGCAAGAAACAAAAACAGATCAGACAATGTGATTATGGGAAATGTTATTGAAAACCTGGAAAATCTTCCCAAGAATCTTGAGAGCCATTGCTCTAGATTTGAGCTCCTCCTTTCTCAAGTTGTTTTCGCGCAAGACCTAAACCAGTTTTAGTCAATAATCATATCTTATGTCTGAGATTTCGAATATAAGCAACAGAAGATCTAAAGAAACTCACCATCTGACACACATGTAACAAAGTCACTTCAATGTCGACAACATTAAGTTTCCACAAAGATCCCATCAGTGTTTCTTTGTTGGTCTGAATATGAGACTCTAACTCATTCGCTGGACTAGCCCCATCTTTCTTTAATCTCCGGTTACTCTCTTCTTGCAGCTGAAGTAACTGAAAAGCTCCTTTAGCTGCACTGATCTGTGATTTCCAAGAATGACCTTTGTTCCTAACCCATTCAGCTACAAATGGAACTCCTAAGTAAAGAGCTCTTTTCCCAAGTTCTTGAGCTGCTTGTCTTGTATATACATATCCAATTGTATGCAACATATCCGCTCCAAAAGCTTCATTCATAAGAAGAATTCAATTCAGAATGCGATGAAATGTACAATTGAAAGAAAGAGAAGGAAGGAAACAAGACAATGCCTGCATCTGATAGTCTCTTGGCTTCAGATTTTGCGCGGCTTATGAATCCTTCTTTGTCTCCATGGACGTATTGACTCAGTAAATCTTTGAGAAACCTTGCGAGGTTTTCTTCTCTTTCTTTCTGAACAGCCTGCAAAAAAAATTAAGAAGGATCTTTTTTTTATGTAAGATCAGATCAAGAAGATGTATATATTAGTTATAACATATGGCTTTTGATTTGCCTTTAGTTTGTCTTGAAAATGATCAGGGGTTTCGATTTCAGAAGCCATTTGAGTGGACGCCATTGATGCAACAGCTAAGTGACCGATATAATCTTTGAATAGTTCACTTCCGAAAAGAAGAGCGAAAACAGCCGTTGGATCAACCATCGTTTCTCTGAGTGATCTCAAAAACAACATTAAAAATTGTCAAATAAAGAAGAGAGAAACACATAATAATGGTTTACTTAAAAAAGAGAGAAAACAGAACATTACTTGGGAGCTGAGAATTTTCCAGTCCGATCATACGCTTCACGATGAACAGGATCACTTAGAACCTGGTAAGCTTCACCAAGAACCTGTCTCGAAGAAGAAAAGAAAACATTTGATTTGACCAAAATCATAACAAAACAAGAAAAATGAATGACGTTAAAAGAATTTAACTTGCCTGAAACTTTTCAGCAGCTAGAGGATCACCTTGATTCTTATCAGGATGAACTTGTCTTGCCTAAAAGATTTAAGTGAGTCAGACCAAAAACAGAGAAAACTCACAGATCTACGAAAACTCTAGAAGATCATAAAGACAACAAAACAAACCTTGATGTAATAAGCCTTGCGAATCTCTTCCTCAGAAGCAGAGGGAGTGACACCAAGAACATCATAGTACACTGTTTCCTTCACCATGATCAGATCAAAAATGTAAAAGGAGTAGGAGAAAAAAAGATGTGATAATTGGGTAGATAAGAAAAGAAAGGTTTGGTTTGGTGTGTGTGAAGCTTTTAGGAGATGTGGGGAAGAAGAAGTTCACAAAAGAGTTCTTTCTTGATCTGCCTGAAGAAGCAAGAGAAAAAAAAAAAAAAAAGAGAGAGAGAAAGATTGGCTTTACAGTGATGATGCACTTTTTTCAATAAACTAATTGCGCCGCTTTTGAGCGGGGGACTACAACAACACTCTCTCTTTTTAACTGTCTTCTTAGTGCTTTTTATCATTCATTTTATGCCCTCTCTTTCTCCTTTTTGCTTATTCTCCATTTCAAAATACTTGTTAGGCAATGATTAGAGATATCCATTAGATCCAACTCGTAACCTGACCCTAAAGAGTTTATAACCCGATCGTGTTAGGACCGGCCTTGATTGCATTAAGCATTATGGATTGTTGAGCGTTGAAGAAGAAATACATATTTCAATTCTTACAAGAGACTGATGCAAAAGAATGTTATTATTATATAGCTATGAATCCTGTTAGATATTTTTACCCAATCTGTTTTATGGCCTTAAATACAACTTAACTTCAAAGGTGAGTCACAGATCACAAAATCACCAACAAAAAGGAAATGGTTTAACATAAAAAGAAAGGTCCTACCGGGAGTCGAACCCAGGTCGCTGGATTCAAAGTCCAGAGTGCTAACCACTACACCATAGAACCCTGTTGTACAACATCTGATGTCATCATAACCTAACATAGAACAACGAATCGTAAGTACAAGTGTCGAGTGTTGAATCGCTTTCTTTTTGTCGTCAACTATCTTTTTTCACGTGTCAATAAACTAATAGTCTAATACACAAAAACAAAATTGGAGAAGACAAAACAAACAAGATTGAAAAGCGTTGCACAAATTTTGAGTAGAGAAGGTTCAGTGAGTGATATAACATTTTGATAAGTAATAGTTGCCTAAGCTCAAAAGTTTTGACGAGTCTTAAGTCGTCCACAGCGTCTTCTTCATGACTATCTTCCTCTCCCACGTTTACCTCCACTTCCTCTTCCTCTTCCTCCTCCTCTCTTACTAGTGCTACTACCACCACGACGACCACCGATATCCCTCCCGCCACTTCTCCCACCTCTATCGCTGCTACTACCAAAATCCCTTCCACCTCCACCACCAAATTCCCTTCTGCCACCACGGCCTCCCCTGGTTCCACCTCTTCCGCCTCTCTTGCTCTGCAGATAAGACACTTTGTTTGCCTTTTGCTGTCTCTCCTTACGCACCTGCTCCAGATCTTTGATCTCTGAACGCACATGCGCGTTAGGCACTGATCCTTGCCGTCTCTTCCCATCTCGGCCTCCTCTACCTGCCAAGTTTTCTCTTTAGACCTATTGATAACTCAAAGGTGGCAAAACGCTGAACTTGTGTGGAAAAAAGCTGTCCAACATTACCTGACATTCGTGTGGTTTCGTCTGCATCACCGCCGTCTCGGCTGAATACTTTCTTGTGAGACCTCTCTTGCCATCTCTTGTATATCCCTGTCTTGTTTGCTTTCACTTTAGCTCCACTCTCTGTCTTTATCTATTTAGTTTCAAGAACCTTAGTTAGCTTAAAGCCTCCCAGAGAATCATCGGATGTTTTTCAAGCAAAAGGCACTTTTACTACCTTTCCACTGGCTGTTACTCGATCTCCATTGTTCAACTTGATGTACTTCTTACTTTTCTGTTACCAAAAACAAATCCAATGTTTTAAAAAGATTAAGATTACTGTTGGGGCAATTGTTATGAAGTAACCTCAAGTCTTACCTTGTCCCAGTGATAATTTGATTGTTGCTGCTTCATCCCTTGTCCATCATCTGCAACTAGATCTAGAACAGCAGCGTCCAACCTACAATCCGAAACCAGTACACGAGGCGTCAATATTTGACAGAAACTTTTATTTTGCAAGATTTAAATGCAATCCCTTGATCCTTCTAGGAATGTCACAAAAAGCACATCAAAAATCTTTTTACCTATTCGATCCAAACCCTTCGTTACCCCTTAGAGACAGCCCTGCCTCTGAATGCTGCGTGCATAAGAGTAATAAAGAGTCAAACTCTGCATCATCTCAATATGATCATAAGCATTGTAGCTTTGACTGCTAATGCGTACTGACACAGAAAAATGCTTTTATTCAATGAAAATAACATACATGATTTACTGGTATGGAGCTGATATAGAAATCATCGTCCTTGAAACTTTCTTGTGCCTTTCTTTTCTTACCGCTTACTGAAATCAATGGAGAGTTTATAAGGTAACAAAAGAAGTGGAAAAACAACCACGCACCACAAACTATTCAAAAGATCAACAATAACAGACTCTGTCACAGAATTATAGAAACAAGAGCGCAAGCAGCATGCATACATTTGCTTCCCTCTATTGTGCCCTCATCAAAAGAAGTTGTAGGTTCAGCTTCCTAAATATCAAAACATTTATGTGAGTGAAACTAATGGCAAAGAAACAAGCACGTGCAACAATATAATATTAGAAACTGCACAAGATTACCATCTCCAAATGATTATTGGAGCTCTTCTGATTCTGCTGATGTCTTGTATTGATGATCTCCTCATGAATGGCTCTTTTCTTCTTCATCACATCAACCCATTGGCCAGCGGGACCCTGCAAAAGAACCAAAACGTTTTGGCTTAGGCTAATTATAAACAAATATCAGAAATATGCAAGTAAACTACCAGCCAAGTAGAAATTTTTGACAAAGATGATATGATCATATTAATAGTATAATAGTCAAACAAATAAAGGAAAGGAAAATAGATAGGAGACACGAGTGTACCTTCACATGTTTGGATTTGGCAACTTCCCCTTCTGCTTCAAGTATGGTCTGCTTGGGCCTAGCACAGATCAGCCATTATTATAATTGATAATGTTGGTGTTAAAGTACATATGGACATACCATCTTGAAGTCTGGCAGTATCAAGGATATAAATATATAAACACGATGATTATACTACTCACCTGAAATTTTTAATTTTCTGGAAAAACGACATAGCCTCTAATTCCCCAGTTTCAATAATGCTTCTGAAGATGGGATGCAAGCCTTCTCGGGGTAAATCCTTTGCTCTCCTAATGGACTCTTTTGACGGTGAGGGTTTTGTTTTTGAATACAAGCGAAAAGCTTTTGTGGATGTTCTTTCAAGGGAATCTAATTCTGCAGATGAATCAATCATTTCTCGGGTTCTGTTAAAGATAAGATCAATGGTTTTCTGTGGGAAACGACCATAGACGGTTACTCCACTATCAATTGCTTGACTAGTTTTGGTCATTACTTCTTCCATGTTCTTCAAGACCTCATCCTCAGTGGGTGCTGGCCTGACCGGTTTTGAGAGGAACAGATGAAGATCCAACATATATGGCACATCCTCAGGTGTAACAAAGGAATATGCAGAACCTGTACGACCAGCCCTGGCAGCTCTTCCCACACGATGAACAAAAATCTTTGGTCTCGGAGGGAAATCCCAGTTAATAACATTATCAAGCAATGGTATGTCAATACCCCTAGCAGCAATATCTGTCACAATCAACAACATAGTCTTCCTCGCTCTGAACCTTGATACATGAATCTTACGCGCATCTTGATCCATATCACCATAACAAACAGATGGCTCAATATTTTCCAACTTAAACAATGAGTTGACAAATTCCACATGATGCTTTGTCGAAACAAATATCAAGGTCTGTTGATCTGAACTTATATGCTCCCTAACCAAGTACAACAATGCAGCATACTTCTCTTCCGGTCGTACAGTCAAAAACGAAAGTCTCAAATCCGGGCTTATCTTGTTCTCAACATCTAAACGAACAAGCTGAGGCTCACGCAAACCAGCCTTTGCAAATTCTGCAAGGGCACTTGGTAAAGTGGCGCTAAAAAGCAAAGTCTGCCTATTCTCACTTAACTGAGTAAGAATCTGATGCAACTGTTCAGCAAAACCCATACCAAAGAGACTATCTGCCTCATCGAAAACCACATACTCAACGGTCCTAAGTGTCATATCATCAACCTCAGACAAAAGATGCATAAGCCTCCCAGGAGTTGCAATAATCACATCAGGTCCCTTTGTCAATTCTTCAAACTGGTCTTCCATACTATCTCCACCAACCAGTAAGGATACACGAAGATCTGACATAATAAACACATCAAAGTTGCTTAATCACTATCCCATTTCATCAACAAAAGAGAAAGTTTTTGAATTGAATTCATTAGACCAACCTGTAAATTTGCCGAGTTCTTTTGTGAACTTCAAAGTCTGCTCAGCTAAATCACGAGTAGGAGACAAGATGAGTGCTCTAACACCTCCCTGAGGAACGTGTTGTTTGAGCTTCTCAAGCATAGGGATGAGAAAAGCTGCGGTTTTACCGGAACCGGTTCGAGCCATAGCGACAACATCGACGCCTGAGAGAATAAGCGGCATCGTCTTCCTCTGGATTGGTGTAGGAACTTTGTAACCCTTTTTCTTGATTGCATTGAAGACATTAGGACCTAGGTTTAGTGACTCAAATCCTCCAGATTTGCCTTTCTTCTTCTGTTTCTCTTTCCGGTGAAGCTCAGTAACCGAGCTCACCAAGAAACCGTTTCCTTCAACCATGGTATGCAGACTTTGGGACTGCAGAGGATCCCTCGAAATTAGGGTTTAAAAGCGAAGAAGATGACTTCGCCGTGATGATGATGATTCAGAGTTTTGTTAGTTTGGATTTTAGGGTTTAAAGATAAGAGACGACACAACAAAAACCCTTTCGCGGGCTTTTATTGGGCCTATACTCAAGGCCCATTATTGAAGCAATGGAGATGATTTACTACGTTTTACATTAATCTATATATATAACGATCTAGTTTTCTCTCCATCTAGAGTGTCCACATAGGCGACACATCAGCGTACACGTCATCATACATTTTTAATAGGTATAAAATGTTACCAAAAAGATTCGAACCCTTTAACCAATACATTTAATAGGTGCATTTCAAACCAAATTGCCATTTAAATCGTTTTGATTGATAACAAAATTTAAATTATATATATGACTTTATAAAACTTCCACTCAATTTATTTATTAAACGAAGAAACATTAAAAAAAATTCACATACTTTTATATTATCATCTTTTAATAAAAGAAAATATTTTTTCATAAACAATAACATTGTTTAATATCAATAAAAAGTAATATAATATAACACACAAAAATATGTGAATAGAAGTTAATATACAAATAGATAATTCAAAAATAGAAGTTAATGAATTAATAAAACACAGCACAAAAATATATAAGATAAAAATATGAATAAAAATTAGAAGCATATAGATAATTGTCAAATACATATAATTTATATATGAGAAGTAGAAAACAAAAAAATATGTTATCACGCTAGAAAGACATTAACCTTTTCAAGAGTTATAAAATATTTAGATTAAAAAAAGTTTATATGATAGTAAACTATAGAATTTAGATTACACGAAATAAGAATATCTATTTTTCAAGAAAAAAGTATGTATCCAAAATC